ATGGCGGCGCCGCCGCTGAGGGCCCGGCGGGGCCGCCCGTGAGGTGCCGGTGCAGAGCTGGAGCCACGCGCCACCGTCCTCTTCGGTTCTTCTGCTGCTGAGGCATTTAAAACACCATCACGAAAGCGGATTGTTTTTTTTTTAAAAAAAATCCTAAAATACTTTTATTCAATAATTAAAATCTGTTGATGAGGAGACTGATATACAATGCAATGATTTAGTCTACAGGCGTTAATGTACAGGGGGAAGCTGTGAGGGAAGGAGCCCCCCCGCCATCTCCCACAGGCAGGGCTGGGTCTGGCCACGGCCCTGAGGCAGCGGCAGCCCGGGTGTTGGCACAGTGGAGGGACCAGCGGCACAGCGGGGCCCCACCCCGAGCACAAAGGAGACAGGTTTGGGAACAAGGCAAGTCCTCCTCTCCCTTCCCACACCCTCCTCATCCTGTGATACTCCTTTCTTCCCGTTAAGTGGCATCTCACACATGGGTCAGGTTTTGTGCATGATACAGCAGTGGCAGATACCAGATTTTTGTAAAAAAAACCCCACATTTAGGAAGAACTCATGTTCATTCTCCAAAGAGAAAGACTATCTTTTTAAGGTCACTTTTCAAACCTCTTCTTCCCCTCACCCTTCCACCCACACAGTGAAATTATCAAGTTTCCAGTAGGTTTAGCTGTAAAAATGAGACAAGGCAAGTTTCACCCTGATTTGGGAGAGTAAAAAACATCTGGGAGGAAGCCACAATAAAAATTGACTACTCTCACAGCTTCCCCAAATTAAAAAGTTTTAAAAAGGCAACAGTCATTTCCCGGTTCTGTAATTTGTTAAACAAGCCTAAGTATCTCAAGACAAGATCTGTTAACATCACAGCAAGTGTGAGAGAGTGGGGAGGGAATGTTTTACACATTTGTCTTTTGTTTGTCTTTTTTTTTTTTTTTACAAAAAGATGCAGCATATGTTAATAATATCTATACAATTCCCTTCCAGGACAACAAACCATTGGTCAGTAGTGATTCAGGACATTGAAGACATGACAGAGACACAAGCAAAACCAAAAAATTACAAGTCACATGTCAGTTGTCTGCCAGGTCAGCATCTGCACAGGGTCCTCTGTACACAGCTAATATACACACGTGCTTCCTAGCACACCCACTCTCCATTCCTCTGCTTTCCAACACTAGAGCTGCCTTTTTTTTTCCTCCCCTCCTCTAGGGAAGGAGGAAGAAATGAGGGAGTTGCATCCCAAAAGGAGTATGTACAACTGAAAACTGGGCCTGTCCAGGCTGAGAAAGGGGAATGAACCGTTGATTCACATGTGGATGCTCTCCTGGCAGGGGTGCTGGCGCCGGAGCGTATTGCTGAGCCACGCGAGGTATAGTGTTCAGTTCCAGCCTGATGGCACTCGAGACGTGTCTGTTCCAGTGAAATGCTACATTCAGACAGGATTCCCCTTCCCTGGCCGAAAGCCCTTTTCTGGATATGTTTTGAAGGCAAATCTTGGAAGAGCCGAGGTTCTACCCTCGCTGTATTGCCTAGGAGAGGGATGCAGAGAACTTCCAGTCCTCTCGGGTCTCTTGCTCCCTTCTTGGAAGATTATGGTCGATGGTACCTAAAAGCCAAGTGAAAAATCTGAGTCTTGGCCTTGGAACTCAGGTTAAATGGTTACTGAGACACTACACGTGACCAAAACCAGTAAACTGAACCACCTCTAAACTCCCAGCCCTCAGTGAAGCTGTTCACAAACGATTTCACCTCTGCCTCAGAAAGCACTTGTGCTCTGCAAGCACTCAGCCACACAGAGCAACTGTTGGGGGTGGAGGGAAACAATCACCAGGGCCACTGCCCACAGGTCACTTTGTAGATAATATCAGAGCCAACTACCAAGGTGTTTTGTGGCTGTGGCCTCTGCTGTACACATCTCTAGCCCCAGAAAACATACTCCAGCTGCACAGTCACACTGGTTTCAGATACACCTCAAACCTGCCACGAGTCACTTTGAGTTTCCAAGCTCAACACCCCAGTTTAAGGAAGAACAACCCACTTCATGTTTGCTACTCCTCCACTCATCCAACACCACCAAGGCAGAAAGGGGCTTTACATCTCCAACTGCTGGTCATTTTTTCTAAGGTTTTAATGCTTTACCTCTCAGAACTACCCCTCCCTGCAGCACAACTCTCCCACAAGACAGAAACTCTGAGTGACATGATCTTGCTCACCTTGTGAACTGCTTGCTGTCCTCATGGACTTCCATTTCACAGCTCTTAAACTCATTCAGCTCCTTCCGGATGGCAGCCTGCAGGAAGAGGGAGAGATCTTTATCTCCTGCTAAGGCATACATACATTTCCCTCCTAACTCAAGTGAGCTCAGACATGGCAAGAGGCTGCTGTACCTCCAACATCACCTCAGGGGTGATCTGTACCACCTTTTGGTGGTGAAGAGTTGAGAGTGGTTTTGATATGCAGGGCTGAGTCCCACAGCTCCTTTGGTAAAGGAAGGAGCTCAGACAGCAACAACCATCCAGCTTTCGCAGTCCATTCACACTAGGCTGAGTTTAATCTGCCCCTCATTCTCCTCACCTGCACCCGCCCCCCCCCCCCCCCCCCCC